CAGATAAGAAAGCTGAAGTACAGAGAGGTTATGCAATGTGCCCCAGGCCATGTAACCTGCATTCTTGCAGCTGGGATTTCAATGGAGGCAACCTCCCTCCCAACCACTACCCAATTATGCCAGAGGAGAGGTAGCAGCTAGCATGTGAATGTCCATACCCAGCATCATTTTTTCCCCTCATCAGGACTTTGCCTGTTTTTTGTCTTTATGAAACGACTTAGTAGGCTGCTTTCCTTTTGATTCCCATGATTAATCCAGTCAGGATATGTTATCGTAAATTAGGTTTCCCTTAAACACACATATGTGACATTAAAGCTATTTCATCTAAATGTGATTTGGGCCAACCTCTGTGCAATTCAGTGGCACAGCTTCAACTTTCGAATTATATAGCATCATCAGAGAGAATGTTAAAAATACCACATCCTTTTACTCAGGTGTTTCATATTGCCAATCTGGTTCCCATTCTGGTTCCGTCTGAAGGGTGGGAAACCTTATGTGTTGGGTTAGTTACCTAAACCTCCTGGCCCATTGACTTTCAAACCTTTCCAGCTGGGAAGGTACGTTCTGATGAGCATTAGGGCAACTTAACACCCAGAACAGCTCAGTTTTCAACAGTCTTCCCAGGTATTTCAGCATCTCAGCTTTGTCTTTAAGAAAAGCGATAATTAAATCCTCAAATCAAGAGAATGAGGAAGAAAAAGACATGGACCCCTCAAAACTAACCAGGTAAAAAAAATCAGTGTGGTAGCAAAGTTAGGCTGATGGACATATGAGGTACAATTAGAAATGAAGCTGCACATATTCACTGTCCTACCAAGAGCCCATGTCTCCACAAAGCCTCCTGCTGGCCAGGAGCCACTCTGCAAGGCAGATGTTCTCCTGCTCATTTAATCTTCAGGTAATCAAGGAATGGTTGAGCTGGCCAATAAATATCACCCCCAATCAGCAGGTCAGCAACTGCCAGAGGTTCCGGTACCACCTTCATGCCAACAAATGCCTTAAAAGCAACACCCTTCAACTCAAACAAAGCTGCTGAAATCCATTCAACTTTTGAAGCAAGACAACAAATAGGCCTAACATACAGGAATTTGGACTTTGAATTGAATCTAAAACTATAAAGTAGAAACGCAAATGGTGAATTTTGTCCTTAACAAATTAGGCAAGGCTTTTAACAAGTGCTCCCTACCCTCGCTTACATCCTCAGGCGAAGATCAACTTGTCCAAGATCACCAAAATGGCAAATACTTATGTATTAGAGCTCAAAGTTGGAAGACATTCCTCTACCATCTACTTATCGTAGTCATACATTAAAACATAGGAGGGGCTGGGCGCGGTGGCTCGCGCCTGTAATCCTAGCATTTTGGGAGGGTGAGGCAAGAGGATCGCTTGAGGCCAGGAGTTTGAGACCACCCTAGATGATAACAAGACCCCCATCTCTACAAAAAAATTTTAAAAATTAGCCAGGCACAGTGTATTCACCTGTATTCCCAGCTACTAGGGAGGCTGGGGCAGTAGGATTGCTTGAGCCCAGGAGTTGGAGGCTGCAGTGAGCTATGATGATGGCACTGCACTCCAGCCTGAGCGATAGAGCAATACCCTGCCTCAAAAAACAAACAAACATAGGGTGTATAGCTTAAGAAGAACCAGTTTCCAGCACAGTCATTTGGATAAGAAGGGATTGATCTAGCTGGGAGTGGGAAGGGAAGGAAGGTGGAAGTTAAGTTATTCACTAACAACAGGAAAAAGAACCCAGTTGGCCTTAGGAGGAAATTGATTAAGAATTTGGAAGAAGTGGTTTGTCTCAGAAATACACATTGGAAAGACTACTAGGCCTCCTATGCGCTTTCTCTAGGAGACTTTCTCCATTGCACTCTCCATGTTGTAGTAGCTGTGGAATTGTTAATTTCTACATATCAAGCACTTCACCAAAAAGTCCTTCCCAAAGATCAAGGAGGGCTCAAGCCTCAAATACTCTTGAATTCTCAAGGCAACACATTTTTTTACAGTGTCATTGAGGCCTTCAATGAGGGTACAGACAGAACCTGGGCTGGGCGGGGCACCGGGCCCAGAAAAGAGCAGCCTAGTCAAGGTCTGGCTGCTGGGGTAGGAAGTGAGCATGACGACAAGTCTTTTGGAAGCCGCAACGCTCCATCCTGTCCACTAGTTCCTTCCTCCCCAGCAGCCAGTAGGTGCTTCTGTGTGAAGAGCCAACCTCAATATTGTAAGGAGGATCAATTATACATTCCATCAAAGCCATTCCAGGAGCCTTATCAGACATCTAGAAGGCGTTTTTGCAGCTGCCTTCTTTCCTTTGCCCTTACTTTAGATTGAGTTAGTTATGTCTTACCTCCTTCTCCCCCACTCCCCTACTTTGCCTGATTAAGACAAGAAATTTTTTCATTAAGTCACTTTATAGAGCAATAGCAACATTTACTATTCATGAAGTTGCCCCTCCATAATTTTTAAGTCTTTCCATGTGTCTGGAAGCTTGTTTCTGCTCTTCTCATTTTACAGAGTGGCTCTCTTCCTTCCAAACACAAACTAAAAAGAAAGGGGAAAAGGTGGGGGCTGGATGGGGTGGAGATAACATCCAGATTCTTTAAGTGTTTTCAATCCAGTTAAATTTCCCTTTGGACTCAAACAGCTCCCCACTGAAACTGACTGCAGACCTGAATTCCAGGCTCAGAATTAAGTCAAGAGGGAAAGATTACAGAAACAGAAAACAGAGTCAGCTCTATATTATGAAAACTGCTATGTTGACTAGGGCTCCATGGTTTTAACCCATTCATTTTTTCCTCCTTTTCTAAAATTCTTACTTAATCTTTTTAACCAGCTTATAGCCCGCAGATAAGCACCATCTAAACCCTGCTCCCAGCACCGGGGATTTAAAACAAGTTTGTTAAGTCCCTTGGGCAGATACTTCCTTAGGAATGCCGGTGTAAGACAAAGTTCACATTTTAATGCCATATGTTGTCAGTCACCAGGAAAAAGCTTCTCTTGGGCACAAACCAGGTCCCCAGCCTTTGTCACACGGCAAAAATAAACACCCTTGGAGGAGTTAATTAGGCGGTCAGCGGCCACACCAGCGTCCTACCAGGGCTGCCCGCAGACCTTTTAACAAGCTAGCTCGCTCTCTCTCTCTCTCTCTCTCTCTCTCTCACACACACACACACACACACACACACACACACACACACACACAAAAGGAGGCGGTCGTTAAATGTCACAAGCTGGGCATCTGGAGTCCGACCCCAAAGGTAAAGGCATTCCGTGACAACATTCCTCAGATGTCAGGCCACAAAACCGCTGGTTTCCCCAAGTACACCATCTAATTTCTAAGATTCCCCACAGCCCAAGGTCTGCACTCCGGGGAGGGGGGGAGCGAAGGAGAGAAGGAGGATGCAAGAAAAAAAAATGGAGCCAAAGGGAAGAAGGGTTCCAAGCTACTCACGGGCTAGCAGCGCCGGTGCGAAGCGAGCATGACTTCCCCGCGCCCGGAGCCTCCAGGCTGCCGCGCAGCCGACACCGCGGGCCCCGCTTAAATAGCAGCCGGCCGAGCTCGGAGCCGCGCGGCCACTCCCGGCGAGAGATATGGTTCTAATCAGATGCTGGCAGCTGAGGACTCCCCAGGAATGTGCCGGGATGTTTTTGCTGCCTGGCTTGGTAACTCCCCCTCAACGTGTCTGCTGAGTCTTCCAAACTTAACTGTTTATTAACTCGCGCCGCAGCCACTCGCGCTGCCGTGGACCCGGCTCCCCTGGGCTGGGAGCCCCACCAGCTGGGGGCGATCGCAGGGACGCGAGCGACGGGGCAGAGCTATGTGTCGGGGCGAAGGCGAAAGCCCCGGGAGGACACGGACGAGGGGCGGAGGAGGGTGCAAATAAGGACAGGAAAGGGAAACTCCGGAGGAAAGGGGTGGGACCCGCCGAGGTTCATTTCACAAATCCGTTCCCTGAATTGCCACTTCCAGCGATGTGGCACACGAAGTCATCCTAACCCATTGGGCCCTGGGAACAAAGGGCTGCCTTTACTTCTGACTTTCCTGACAAGGAGCAGTGGGTCCTAGTGCAGACCTGCAGTTTCTAAAGTCGAGCGCGCGTTGCCCCTTTGAAAGAAGTTATTGCAGGTGTGGATGCACTTAAATTTGTGGGAAATCTATGGGTGTATATGTAAAACTTACTGTATTTATATATGAAATAGAATCCTGCATACACAGATATGAACACAATACTCTCTTTATGAAATTGATATCAGCAAATTATGTTCACATCTATCCGTCCTATATTTCTGATATAAACAGATTATATATTGGCTTCCCTTACAGTATATATACATCTATATGTAGACACATAACATGACTTTATCTGCATTAATTTCCATACCATTTCATATACTTCTATGAAAAACGTGAGCTGTAAGAAATAAAATGTTTAACAATATTGACATACAGTGCTCAGGACTCGGGGCACACAGCATATCTTGGTGTACAGTAACAAGTTGGGAATTCATTTTCTCCATATTTTAAAATCAGGAACAATTGTAAAACATCCACAGAAGCTGTTTCTTTTTAAAGAATTATGAAATTATTCTTGTGAAAGCCATGTCTCTTTTCTTCTCTTTTTCTTTTCTTTTTTTTCCTAAGTGGGAAGCAGTGTGTAGTAAACGTGAAAAATACCAAATTGTGGCCAGGCGCGGTGGCTCACGCCTGTAATCCTAGCAGTCTGGGAGGCAGAGGCAGGCGGA